CATTTTTAATTACGAACATATATTGGACATTAAGGTAAGCTCGGTTAGTCATCGTGACTTAGCGCTGAACTGAGGCTTGCGTAAAAATGAGTCACCTTTCATATAGAGGACGAAAATTCATCTCGTTTTCATCTAAATTGAAAGAAATATTGCAGGAACAGCTTCATTTTGAAGATCAGAGTAAAATTTCTTGATTCCAGAAAAACAGGAAACAGACATCGTCTTCTAGTGAGAAGAAATTATAAATATTTTCGTTATTCACTTTCAAGTGAATACTTGATTTGAGACCAGTAGCTGCTCAAACACGATTTAGTCCTAATCCTTACTGGACTGGATATCTTTCACGGACACTGGGCCGCCAGTAAGTAATTATATCAACTACATTTCATGCAATTAGACTTGTGATTTTGACAACTTATGATGCTTTCTTCCCACGATTTGGTCTTCTCTGCTATAGCCACGGAAGAGGCAAATGAAAAGGCAATGCTTGATGAAGTACCAACTGGATCTGACCTTCCCACAGGCCAAGAGTCCATGCATGCAACAAAGCAGGGCCGGGACTTAGAGCGAGCTACTGATCGACCAAGATCCTGGTCCGCCGACCGTTCTGGAAGCCATTCGTTCACCAAAGGTCGATGGGACCGTAACTACATGGAAGGTCAGGCCCATGGAAGCCGGGCTGGAGGACAGGGAGGGGAGCTGAGGTCTCTTGGGGGCTACAGATCCGGGGATCAGGACGACTTGGGGCCTGCTATCGCAGGACAGCCCAGCAACACGCTCCTCATTGTGGTGGCCACCTCGGTGTTCGGCTTTGTGGTACTCACGGCCAACCTTTTGGTTGTCGTCTGCCTCGTACGCAGGCAACGCCACCAGCGGGCAAGACTTCGAGCCAAGTTAGCTCAGACAAACGGTTTCGGAATGGCCAGTTTAAGCGGCACGACGCAGATTCACAGTCCAAGTAAGTTGATCCCTTTCACTGCCAATCTTCTTAGCCGAACCATTAGTTGTCTGGCCAACATTAGCCTGGTTAATGCCAATGCCAACACGCTTACCAATCGAAGATTGAATTCTTTGGACCAGACTCATTTTAAAGGGGTTCTGGCTAACGATCAGGGGAATGCGAGTCGTTTGG